GAAAGCAGTGACAGCTCAACTGAGCAACTGCCCGGCACACGTTCAGACTATTCATCATCCAGGGACGCTTCTTGCTGTCACGATGAGAAGTGACTATAAATTATTGGCTGTCAACTTCAAAGTCACAAAAAACGAAAGTGCAAAAACAAAGAGAATGCTTTCAGGCCATGGCTCCAGCGTTTTCAAGTAGCGGCAAAACATAAACATAACAGGGTCTTTCGCCCCGAGTAGATTTCTGTTAACAAGCGCGAGCCACGGCCTTTGGAGCGTAACGACGCTATAGTCGTGGATATAGCATGCGATGTCGCACCACTGTCTGGATGATAAAGGACATTACAACGGATTTCGAGCCCGATTATTCATCTATAATACTAATAGTTTACACTTATAAGACGCCATTTACAAAAGTCTATACAGAATAAATTCCGAAATCACAAAGATGTAGGTATGTGTACATGAAAAATATGGGTGAATTAATTTATAGACCAATATTTATTCTCAAGCTCAATAAGATACAATCTTTGAACTGCGTGTGTAAGATGGTTTTCTGTTCGGATGTTGTATGTAATGTGTTCGCATTACCCGCTTTCCAGCCACCAGAACCAGCCACTACATTTACCACAGTTAAAGAGATGAATTTTTCTAGAATCCAATCGTGGAAATTCATTGCTGTACGCGGGGGGTGAACCATTACACTCCTATTTTTTTTAAGTGTAACATCTCATTTTCGCTGATGGTCATCAACAAAACTGCCGCAACGCACCGACAGTAAATATAGCTTGTCGAGAGAAAATTACTTTCCTTGAACGGCATTTCAAATGGAAAGTGTGACACGGTAGAATTCCTGAGCACTGCTCTTCATCACACTGGCAAAAAAGGCAGCCAAGTGATGGGCTGTGTAAGCAACGGAGACCCCAAAGAAACAAAACAATTTGGATCTTAGGCACTGGGCCATGACAATCTTAAGCCAGTTCAAATTCTTCCACTGCAGTGCACAACGCCTCGAGACGCAAGGTCGGCTCATTCGGGGGCCCCGACTCTGGCTCTGTACCAGCGCGGCAGGATAAACTGCGACCTCCAGACGAACTATATTTCGATGTAAAGCTTTCGTGACTGCAGGGATTCATCTTCTTGGTTATTTCGGTAAAGTCACATAGAAGGGAAATAATAAAATAATACAAATAAAACATAATAAAATAATTCTCACGACGTTTCGGCCACAACACAAGCAGCCGTCCTCAGGTGAAAAACAGGTCTGTCGGAAAGACAGCGTCTGACGTTAAGCATCCCATTTTCAGGTTGCTAGGAGCTTCTTCAACTGAGTTCCTGAAGAAGCTCCCAGCACGTGGAACGGAACGTCGGATACCGTGGCAAACAGCGCATGGTACGACCAGAAAACAGCACATCAGAGGGCTGCTGTACAGCGCAGCCACAAAACCCTACGCGGTGCGTTAGTACAGACATGACGTCATTGCAAAGCACATTATCGCGTGCTGCTTAATTGAGCCTCCTCGTTAAATGTGTCATGAAATGAACAGTGATTTTATGTAAACGCACTTACTTACACGTAAACAGAGTCATACGTTACAATTATAGAAATTAAAACAACTTAATAATGACAAGTTGTTGGTTACAAACCAATAAAACATACATGCGATGGCAATAAAATAAACCACAAACATCGCACACGATCACTTTTGTTCACTCAAACCTGCCGCTCTCATCATCGTCGCCGTTTCTGAACAAGCCCCGCTATCCAAGTGACATTTCACAGAATGGAATATCTGTTCAAAGTGATGGAAGATTTAAAAAAAGTGTGGAGGTGTTCTCCCGCATTCTGCCATTCATTAATTTTAACAGCCAAGGGGCAACAGTTTGTCCTCTGCAATGTAAAAATAGCGTGCCAATCTTGTGAATATGTTCCACTGCTTAGAAAAACGGAACGTCTTCACCCACTCACGTGTCATTTGATAACGAGCGCGCACACAATTTGTAATTGCGTTGCTCTGTGAAAATCTGCTCGACGAGCACTGAAAGTGATGCAGGGGTGGAATGTTACATTTCGTTTCTCCCAAATCCAGGCAATAAGTCTTGCCTTGTTGGATTAAATGTGACCAAGACAAAAACAAAGCCGGTGGGCTTTGAATCTGGCCTCAGGGTTGGATGAAAAGGGCACTGCGGACGGCTTCTTTGAGGCCGTGTTTCCAAACACAGCAATCATTTGCAAGCCCTCGTTTTGCCACAAACCCCAGTCACCGAGATGCCAGCAGCCATGGCCACCCGGCCAAACAATGGAATCTCTCGCTGCTGGCAGCACGTCTCAGGTCTCGTCACTCCGACGCCTCGACTCGTCTTACCGAGCGAACCAACTTTGACGAGCAATAACACATTCAATACCTCTTCGGGCGCCGACGAGTAATAGAGCCAAATGTAATACCCCGACACCTTTGACCTGCCTGCGACCTCGAAACAAAACGGACAATTTAGCAAGACATTTTAACTAGCGTCTGCCAAGCATATGGAACATTATACTCGCAGTCGCCCTAGACGGCCACGCTGGCACATTAATGAAGAGTGGGCGGACACGGCGTGCCTTCGCTAAGCACCCGACTTTCGCCACCCGAGCTCACTCCTCGTCTGTTCTCATTCACGGAGCTGAGGCCTCCGAGGACGGCATGGCGGAGAAGTCTGGGGGGTGACGCGTTAAGACACCGGCGCAGCGGCAGGTAAAGCGGCGAGCACTCGAGTCGCACGCGTTGGCACCAGCTGGGACCACAGGCACGGGGCTACCTCGGCCCGATTGTTGGCCAAGTAGCGCTGCTGCTGAGTGACGTTCGACGCAGGCCCGATAAAAGTGTTAGCACCTCTGTTCAGACAAGCAGAAATGGCCTTTTTAGGCCCCCAGAGGTGTGGCGTTAGAGCCCATCACACTTGAACAAACAAACTTCTTTTCAGAGCGCAGCGCTGGAGGTATAAGCCAAGGCACGGGTACATATCCAGTTTCAAGTCGTGGTTAATCAACCGAGGAGAGGCAGAGAAAGAGCGGCAGAAAAAACCCATTTAACGAATGAGCGCTCTTCAGATAAGCTAAATCATGTGCCAATAACGCAACCTGGGTGAAGCCGAAGCAGCCGGAAGGGAACGGCTGCGGGGAGGGAGGGAGGAAAGGCGATACAGCCGCGGCTGCCACCCGGCCCCTGGGGATGTTTCTCCACTAGCGAGATGTCCCGGCGAGCGACCGTAATCCACGCCCCGAGTCGGCTCAACCACCTGCCATGCTCCCAGCCCGGGCTGAGTCTAAATCCCCCTAACAGCGGGTTGCAGCGCTCTGCAGGGTGGAGCTGGATTAGATGTTGCCCGCCCCAAACTTAGCTGAGACAAAACGTCCCATCGGTCTTCCAGTCGTCCGATTCATCGCCCCTCACAGCCACCGAAATCGTCTACCTCGTCTCGGTCTTGAGTCATCTGCTATCTGGCGGCTATAATGTTGTTTTGTTCTGGGGAGATATCATTGATTTCAATGTTAAAATAAAAATAATTCTCTTGATTTGAATTGATGCCTTTTTAATTAGGTGTATATTATATAATACTGCAAGAACAGTTACAACAAAATATGCAAGTAATGCTTAATACCAGGAATTTTAAAAAATTACAACTTGGAAAAAAAAAATTCTGCAAGAGGCGGAAATGAAGATTGACTCGTTAATATTTTCCCAAAAATACAGATAAGTAGAAACACAACCAAATGGTAATGCCGAATCATTGGGTCGTGTTCAGAGCCACGGGTTTCCACGGCTGCACTCAACAGGGCTTGGAGCCACGGCACGGCCACCTGAAGCAGCGCGCCAGCTGGGAGCGGTGAGATGAGCTACGAGAGTTGGGCACTCCAGCGCCAGGAGGCATCCGCGACGCCGCCATCACTCAGCGCTAATTCAGGGGAAGATAAAACAAAAAGAATGCCTCTGAGGGACCACCGCAGCGGAGACGACCACTTGGGCAGTTTTATTATTTTATTATATCTCTTTTTTTTTTGCAAACGGTGGTTTCAGTTCACGGAAAGACATCACCACTCACCAAAGTTGCACTTTTACTTAAAATGTATTTTGGATGGTTGAAGTTGTCGGATGAAAGAAAGGTATTTGCAAGACCGACTGTGAGCTCTTCTGTGAATAGCTATAATGATACTAATATCATCTATGTATCCATAATAGCTCCACAATCCAAACTTTGTCAGGATGGCCATGCATTTGAATGTTCAAGTCCTTAATAAGAAGGGGCTTTGTGTGCGAGAAACACAAACTGGAGTGCCTGGAGGACACCCCCGGCATTGGGAGGAATCGTGCTCCAAGGTCCGCACAGATGGGTTCACAAACCCACCAGCTGTGTTGCTATCTCGCAGCTCAGTGAGATTGGGAGCTTCGCAAATCTGTGTAAACCCACTGAAGGTCGCTTAAAAAGTGCTGAAACACACCAAATCCCTCCCATTGTCCCTTTTCCCAGGTTTCTGACCAACTTGCTCAACTGAAGAATATTTGTAATCATATCGATTTCATGTTCAATGGCGTTGTTTGTTGCAGACTGCTTCACATGCTGGGTTCTGGGCCTTTGCTCAGCAACCGTGATAAAAAAATATAATTAAGTATTGTCTGAAATGAGGCGTCACTCCTTCTTAAACAGCAAAAAAACGAATAAATCAAACAATGATCTCACAGTATCTAAAAAAACAGCAAATGGGCTAGAGCAGAAAACTTCACTCGAGAGGATCGCAACAGATGAGTTAAACTGACGAGTTAAACTAATGAGAGCTGAAACGAAGCGGAGAGGAGGGGAGGGCCAGGGTAGAGGCGATGAACTAAGGAACGATGACTCCTACGTGCACATGTCGGAGATGAGTTTTACCACAGCTGCAATTGCCATGGAACAATGGAGTCAAAAAGCAGAGGTCTCCATCGGTCAATGGAGGGGGAATGGATGGTGGTGGTGGCGATGACAATCGGTACCTTCTTCAGGGTTCACAGCCGCGGGATAGTCACCCCACGGAAGAGTGATTTGACAGCAAGGGTGGGGATCCAGACACGCTTCGATGCCCGCTTCCTGACGGCACAGAGAATCAAAACACAAGCAACGGTCAGCCGGTGGCTTGCGACGTGTCACAAAGTCACCGCCATTGTGTTTTTACACAGTTGTATTATTAATATTTTACACAATTGCATTATTTATATTTTACACAATTGTATTATTTATATTTTACACAATTGTATTATTTATATTTGGCTGCATGAAGGAAAGGGGAGCGGCGGCGTGGTGGTTCGCACGCTGCGCTATGAACCCGGCGACTTGAGTTTTTGACTCCCGGACCTGGCTAACGTCAGTGGTGAGTGATATCTAAACCGGTCCTGGGCCTCCCCTCCCCCTCTTCCCTTCACCAATTCACACTGACCAGCGTGGTAAAATATGATCAAACAACCCTCAGGACTGACACATCATGGATTGTATCCAGCAGTGAACTTAAAGGGCCAGACATTAAACAAAACAGCTAGGATACAGCGCAGGTCGTTGGGCAGGAGGGTGATTATATAGAAACCATGAGATCAAACCATGTTCGGGGTCAACAAAGTCATCATCATCGTCCCTTATAAAGTCAATAACATGCGTACCACCGGAGAGCCTTTTGCGTGGGAAATTTCGACCACTGGCTGAGGATCGCCAACAGAAACCCGCACATAGACAGACCCCACCGAGCATTGATTTCACAAAAGCTACCAATATTTTAAAAGTGGAGCACCTTGAGTTTTTCAAGCGTGGGGCGAGGGCCGCCTTTGAAATGCTTGTCAAGACTCGCGGAAGCTGTTCGGCTGCTGTCGGCGGCGGAGGCAACCGGCGGGGCCGCCTTGTCGGGACCCAGGGCCTCGGGGTTTACGGGGCGCGCGGGCCCCGGGCTTGCAGAGGACGGAAGCGGCGTGGCGTGCGTTGGGGGCAGGTCGAGGGGCTGCAGACCGACCCCCGCGGCCGCCTGCCTGACGGCCGGCACGGCGCTCACGCGGCCGTACCACGCCGTGACGAGCGGCACCGCCCGCAGGACCTCGGCCTGGCCAGGGGAGAGGAGCTGGGCCTGCGCTCGCGACACAGCCACCGACGAGCGTTACGCATCGACAAAGCGCAGCTGCCAACAGCAGCGGTACAATTCAAACACAGCCAAATTGAGATTCGTAATAAAAAATTTGGGTGAGGTGACGTAATGATCTGGCCAACATTTATTTTGTTAAGACCCTACACCAGCCGACAAGGCCAAACAAATTAAACTTTTCACGTGCGAAAGAGTTTAGCGTGCCAATTATTATTGTTTTCACTCGCCGGTAGCTTAGAAAAATAATTCTCAAAAACGAATATCAATTAGACGTGACGGTTCATTTGAAAATACATCATCAGGACAAGATCCAGGAAGCCAGAATTACAATCCACGAGACTCCTTATAGAAATGTAGCTACTACAGGTAGAGTTAATATAACATTTAAAAATTATAGATGCTGCGAATAAAATGTTATACACACAGTAAAATCTCTCGAAGCCAGAATCAGTGACACCAGATTGAGGTTTCCCAGAATAGCTGCTGGGAAAAGTAAAAAACTACGGAGAATAAAGAAAACTCCATGGGGGGATCTTTTTTTGCAGGAGCACTGCACAATCTTTATACAGAAGCCACTGGAGCTATCGCCTTTCTAAATCATCTACATTGAAAACTATTTTCTTTAAAACTCCTTTTTGTGTTTAGTTTCTCGTCCTTCCCTCGCACGTCCGATAAGCACGGTTGGCTACGTACGGTGCGAATGAAGTTCAACGTACACACATACAATTACATCCAAAAAAGCTAAAGATTACGAGGTTGTGACCATCAGAGGGTGCGCGCTACAAACCGAGGCGCCTCGGGGGCGTGTACGGGTTCACCGGTTGCATCAGTCGATCACATGACCTGCCCGCGGTAGCCTTGCAGTGCCTCGGCTTCAGACTTAAAATGTCTTTGTAAAGTAGCGCAAACATTTAAATGATGCAAAATGTTTGTATTTATATATTTTTTAAAAATCAAGGGCCACCTTTGAAATTTAGCGACACTTATTGAGGCCAAAAATGCATTATTAGATAAAGCCACAGAACAAAAAACAACGCAACCGCACAACTGCGCATACTCCCCAGCGATTACGTCAGTTTCCACCCTGGCCAAGCGCTGAGAAGGAGAGGGCAGCGCTCACCAGGAGGAGGTGCACGCAGGGGAAGAGGACGAGGTCCGTGAGGGTGAAGTAGAGGCCCTCTGCGAAGACGTGCTCCAGCGCGGGCAGCTGGGCCGTGACCACGCGCCGCACGCTGGGGGCCTCGCGCCCGGGCCTCGCGTCGCTCCCCACGCACGCCAACCGCGCCAGAGCGGCCGCCAGCTCCACCGTGCTCTCCTTGGCAGAAGAAATCCGGCGCGAGCACGTCGTTTGTGAGGAGTGCTCTCGCCAATAGCAGCTGGTGATCCGGTAGAATAAGTTAACAAGCCTGGCTCTGGTGATGAGCACCCAAAAGATTGTTAACTGGTGCAGAATTGTATTGCTTAAACAAATGCTGCATTTCCTATCGGATTGGAAAGCAAATAGGCTGATGGACTAGAACATTTTTAATTAACATGTGTAGATACAGAATGGAATTCTGCTTATATTATCTTTAACACAGATCAACATGGGTAAATTTGACTCCCTATTAACATTGGGAAACGCTCATTGGAGGCCTTGATTAAGCAGTGTACATGTCCACATTAATGACAGGTGCGAGTCCATCCACTACGACGATCATTGTTGGCTTCCCACAAAGTGGTGCCGGTCACTCTCAATGACCCCTGTGTACTGGACTAGGAGTGACCCAGCACTGGCCTAGGACCAGCACAAGGGCCCACGCCATCAGTGCTCATGCGCCGGAAGCCATGAGGCTGTCACGATTAGCAAGGTCGACCAAGGTCAAGTCGTATCGCTCCGATCAAGAAGCGAGTTCAGGACTCCGGGTCTGAATTCCATGAGGTGGGTTTGGGCTCTACGCAATTTCTCTGGCCCAGCACAGCGCAAGTATTGTGCCAGCATGCTTTCAAACGGCTGTGAAAACTAGGCTTTGGTGTTTGATTAACCCAATACAGTTCGTCCGTCCACGTGCTAGAGGAATTCAGTGCAGTTTCTCAGTGCATCGTATGTTCTACCTGGCTCGCATCACCGCACATGGCCGGCTCCTGCTGCTGCTGCTGCTGCTGCTGCTGCTGCTGCTGCTGCCGCTGCTGCTGCTTCTGCTGCCGTCCCCGCAGCTTAACGCGCCGTAATTTGTCGTCGTTGTGCACACGGACAGGCTCACCCAGCCGACGCTCCAGCTCAAGCACCTCTAAAACGGTGGTCAGGATAGGATGGGGATATATATATATACACGGTTCGGTGACATGCAAGACACAGAAAAGATACATGAAATTAAATTTGGTTCTGCACTTCATTTGGCTAAATTCCAGGTCTCAGAATGAAAATATCAGATTGAATGTTACGCAAAAAACATTAATCCCATATGCAGATCGAGTGAGAAGGTTCCCCCTTCTCCTGTGTGTGGCAGTTGTCTTCTGATCGGATCTCAGAGGTAGCACCGAGGAGATATTCGCTTCTGTGAAGCATTCTCTAAGATGAAGGGTTGCAATGCAATCGGCTTTCGCGACCAATATTATCCATAAGAGGTTTGTCACGTAAACCAAACATGCCAATTTGTTATTAGCACAGCACACCGGTGTGTTGGAGAGTAAACCCATAGCATTCATATTTCTAGTATGACGTTTCACCAGTAATTACAACCAGCATCATCAGGCAAAAGCCAAACACACCGGTGAGTGCTGTACTAGTAACGAATTCGCAGGTTCTGTTTACGTGACAAACCTTACTAATTGGCTGTGTCGGGCGGTGATCCAACCCAAAAAACCTCGATTAAACGTTGCACTGCTCTGCAAGACATTCGAATGGATTCAAATTCGTCTCGTGACGTGGACGTGGGGGGGGGGGAAGACAACAAACTAAAACGAATGCGGAACGTCCCGGTTCAAGAGTGGAAACGGGAGAGCAGTGCCGCTACACGTGGGACTCAACAAAGAGCTTTGAGTGCCACTGCTGGTACGCGTCTCATCGCTTCACAGCCGTGCGGGAGGGCGGGGAGGGGAGCACCTTGCGGGAGAGACGACCGGCGACACGGCGGCTGCGGACCGCTCTGCACGGCGTCCACGAGCGACTGCACGGCGGCTGGGAAGGTGACCTCGCAGAGACGAGTCCACTGGCTCACCTGATCCCACGCGACGTCACGGCAGCACGGGGGAGGGCAAAGTCAAAAACACTCAGCAGCTGACCCTCCAACCCCAAGCATGACCCTATTGCAAACAGGCATGCCTGTACAAATAATAAACAATTATTATTTTGAATATAGTATCATTGTTGCTGTTGTTGTCAAGCCAGGCAATGTATTTTAACCATCACTGAAATGTTTACTTTGTAAATAGTTGGTCACTCGTAAGTTTGGTAGCCAACCCACACTTCGCGTACCCTGGTGACGAGCACCACCCATCGCTCATTTACCAGGACTGGTTTTACCCTTTTGGCTGTGCTTGACGTGGAATTCGTTTAACTGTGGAAGTAAAACCAGCAATGTCCATGGTATGCCCACCAGTGCAGCAAAAGCCAGCGCGGTGGTGAAATGTTGTCCTCAATAACATTTTACGCGAGTATTTTGGACAATGTAAATCAACGATAATTAATGTTTCTCTGGAGATGACGCGGGATTTGGAGTTCTCAGTTTCCCGACCAAACGGGCGCTTTGAGCACATCCCAAAGGCTCGACGTTTACAACTCATTATACACCGCTACGCCACTTATCGGGAGATGACCTCAGCTATATCTCCTTCCTGTTTAAAGGAGACACAGCTTGAGGACACAATAAGTGGACGGGGAGCAATTTCAGGATAAGCATCGGTCCACCGTTGGCCCTTAGGAGCAGCTGTAAAAATTCCCACTCAGCAGGTGCAATGAAAACTCTTGGAAGTGCCAACTCCTCGGAGGAAATGTATAATTATCTTTGAGATTCAACACAAAATAATCAACTTTAAACATTTACCATTGAGATCATTCACCCACTCTTCCATTATTTGTCTCTGAAATATCCAATGATGACTTGAGTTTATCTCTTTTATTGCAAGAAAAATAAGAAATAGTTCCTCACTCTAAACTTATCAGCTAGGAATTAAAAGATTGCGTGTAAATTTTTATATATAATTTAACGTGGAGTTTGCGGGTCTCTCTCCCCGTAGTCACGTAAGGATTTTTCTCTGGGTCCTCCACATTTATAAATATGCGTTTAAGATTGTTTGGCTGCTATACATTTCCACGTGTTTAGCCACTTCGTTGAGCTATCATTTGTGGACAGGTCGCTTCTGAAAAAAGCAGTATAGCTCAGTGGGCCTTACCTGGTACACTTTTAAAAACAGTTCCGTTTTAGTTGCTAGATAAACACGCACGACGAATCACGAACATTTTGCTCAACAACGCAGTGCTTATTCGAGCCACGTTTCCCGTGATGTCAAAGTGTTCAGGGTGTCCTCAATATTTGCTTGGTTCTTCGTACGTGAAAAAAAATTTCATGCAACCACGGCACGTGCTGTTGCGTTTCGAAAGAGAGCATCGTGGGACTGCAAGTGAACTCACGGTGACCCTCGCATCAGCTTAACTTGTCTAGAGATCGCACGGGGGTGCCGTGCGCCAGAAGACCTGACTAGTGAAAAGGTATTCCTCAGCCACGAAAATCCTCCACGAACACCTTTTCCAAACAGACTCGATAGCAGCGAGCAGGGCGTCAAGATTGTTACCTGCGATTCCCCGCACGCCGATGCAACCTGTCAAACGCAACCCTCATAAAACCATGCCACCCTTCACTCCCGCAGCGCCACACAACACAATCTTCATCTATAAACACTTTAGTTCAACAACTTTTGAGAAGAAAAAGATGTTTGCTGCAGTGTCTCTGGCTTAAAAATGCAAAGCTATAGGTAGATGATCCCTTTACCCCCTCTCGAGGGTATATTTGGCCTACTACTCCTGTACTACTGTTCCACACTGGGCAGATGTGTTGGAGGTAGTTGTGGATAGAGGTGGGGAATCAAACTCAGGGCACCAGGTTCTTAGCGCCAGGCGACAACCACACTCCACTGCCCCCATCGTGTAAACATAAAACACTCCCAACACCCTGACTACAGAGTACAGTGCGTGCACGCGTGTGTTTACACGTGGTGGAATTTAATTAAACATATTATCGCTCCAAAGACGAAAGGCTATTCGATGAAAACTCCAAGGAGGGGGGGGGTATAAAGAATTAACCAGCTTCAGTATTCGAGGGAACGTGAATATTGCATTGGGCAGGTGCCAGCCGAATTGGCTGCAGGCAGCTGCTATCTCAACAATGGACAGGGTCTTTCAAAGAGTAAAGCTAATAAGATTAAATGCTACGGTCAAACCGAGTGCATGGCTTCGCCACGAGTAAACGTGGAAGAGGTTTCTGTTGTGCGTTTGGAGAGCGCTCCGTAGTGGGCATCTCCGCCGGGGCTCTGTGAAGTGGCTTCGCGGTGACTTTGCTTGAGAGCAGCACTCGTGGACTCCACTGCAGTGAAGATTAGCCGAGGGAAGATTACGAGAAAATATCTCTTGGGGAAAGCAAAAAAAAACTGTGCAGGACCCAAAATCCACACGTTTCAAAAATTTGCTAAAATTAATTGCGAGTAAAAAAAAAGACCATTAACTATTGATGCTTTTTGCTAACTAATATTTTCGTCACTTTGTAGTAAAGTGTTAGACATCAGTTCACTGCTTTAATTGTACAATTTTCTCAAACAAAGTGATCTTCATTCCATTTAAGGTCACGGATGTTAACAGCTCGAAATAAAAGCATGGTGGAGGAGCAGTGGTGCAGTGGTGAGCACACCGCACTCTGAAGCTGGCAACCCGGGTTCGATCCCCGGCCACGGCTAACATCACCAGTAGGCGAGCGATATCTGAATCCATTCAGAGCATTCTCCTTCCCCAACCTGCACTGACCGGCATGGTGAAGTATGGTCAAACATACCCCCCATGACTGACGCAGCATGAGGGAGTATTCATCAAAAAAGTGGATTGATGAAGGGCTGTAAATATTTCACTTTACATTATTTTTTTATTATGGAATAATAAAAATGTACATTAAAAAGTCACACTGCTGGTTTTGTTGCATTCACACACAAAGTTCCCTGACATAATACCAACATGGCATGTTTGGGACTTAGCGGATAAACCACTTCCTGTGAGATCTACCACACCTCTGTGCCACGCTTGTTCTCAGATTGTATATTTCTGTTATCTAGATTGAAAACTCATTACTTTAGAACTGATCTTTGTGTTTAGTTGTTCTTTCCTTAACACCTCCGATTAGCACGGTTGGCTACGCACAGTGCGAAAGAAGTTCAACGTACATACATACATGTGCTCAAACGACTTCAAATTGGTTAAACAAAACAGTTATACGGTCTTAGAATGATGGAGTTGTTTCTATTTGTTATCCCTGCATTCTTTCTGTGTCGCATCCAGATCACTCTAAATACACTTGGGAGTTTAAAGTAAGTTTATCCAGGTAGATAAAACTAACAAAACGCAGCTGACCATAATCTCCAAGGGGGGCAGAAAAACAACAAAGATCAAAAACCGATGTGTGCGGCAGACAACGTGCAGCTGGCCTAGTGCGGAGGAACAGATGTGCAGAAGCACTTTCACATCATGGTACGTCACGAGCGTCACTTAATTCCGACGTCTTGTGTCGGGTTCATAAACTAAATACTAAATGTTTGAATGTTTCTCCAAAAGTACAATGCACTCACGTGTGGAACAATAACTGCACGTGTTATATATACGACACCGTTTTGTCATCGTATCGTGATCAGCTTCTGGATTCACTACTTAAATAATCGGCTCTTGCAATGTAGCTCGTGTACAGTTTACATCACAACCTCGTTAAAATATATATTATCGTATTGAAATTGTGTTATGTAGAGTTCCTTTTTCAATCCACTGAAAGTTATACTCCTTCACAACGCTGGTAGGTGCAGGTTGAGGGCTGGGATCATTGATGTGGGACAAGGCCAGTTCTCCCGTGGGACACCTCCCTCCTACCCAGCGATATTCACTTCTAGGACTCCAGGAGAACGATAACGCACAAAGTTAATAGGTAAAATATGCCAAAGTACCTTGGCCAGACGCAACTGGGACAGCGCAACTGCAGCGACGTGGCCGAGTGGTAGCGTGCTTACCGCTTGTTGCAGACGCCTGTGGCTTCGACCCGTAAATAATAAAGCACCTTCTGCTGCTTCACAGTAGACGTTAAATGTCACCCCGTGAAAGCTATTCGAAAAATAATAGGCCATATGTGTTCTGGTGTCAAGGTTCCAATTTGCCAAGTTTGAAATGTATCTGCAAATTAATGAACCGGGTAAAATCACAAAGCAAACTATACCCACCTGTAAAGCATAGCGCCTCCGTGATAACTTTTGTGCTTTCACAAAAGGTGCAAATATCAAATGTACAAGACGACACCATCTACTTGAGCATCCCACTGTTCCACGAGCCCACGTTCAAGCGCGCACTCAACACCGTGGCACGCCGCATCGCCGGCGGGGCTGCGTGCAACGGGCCCTACCTCGGCGCAGGCCTTGAGGCACGTCTGCCGGAAGCCCAGCAGCTGCAGCAGCGTCGCTCGTCTCCTGGCCGCCCTCTGCACCAGGAAGCGGAGCACCACGGCGAGCCCGGCCCGGCACAGCTCGGCGCCGGGACGCTCCGACGCGGGCGGCCCGGCGCGCTTCCCTGGATCGGCCGAGCCGTCTCCAGCTCGGCACGCCCGGGAGCCCGGACTCGCTCTCCGTCGGGCCAACGCGAGCGGCGCTCTGCGGGCCACCCGCCCCATCCGAGGCGTCATCGATCAGTGCGGGCAGCAGACAGCGCCGGACGATTGGCGGGAGGTCCGAGCGTCGAATGGACGTAACGTGGAGGCCGGGCGGCACCCAGGTCGGCGTGTCGTCGATCGCTGCTCCCTCCTCTTCGGACACCAGGTGAACCTGACAGCCACAAGAGCCACGCTTGTCATGTTCTCGTATGGTATGGTTGATGAGACGATTTTTAGGTTTATACTCTTCATTTTTTCGTACATTTTTTACAATTCCATCCCAATTGAGTTGTGGGTATCACACCATGAGACAAAGCATTCATCAGGATCGCTCGCATAGCAGTGGAACCCTTCGTGTTAGAGAATGGCCCACGGAACTGGATATCAAAGAGGTACCTTCGAGAAACCTTCCAGTGACCTAAGATCGACAAATAAGAGGGCATGAGAGTTATGTTCATTGCTCGACAGTAAAAATAAAATATCCGAGCTACAATTTAGACAAATTAAGTGCAGAACCAAATTCACCCATGCTGTAGTACTTCATAATGAAACACCAGTATATATTCACGTGTCTAAGACAAGTATTTTCAGTCGCCGCATTCTGCCAGCTGTACCACTGAGATTGGAAACATTGACATTGACAAAGCAAACGGAACGCAGGCTGAGCACGTCCGAAGCATCTATCAAGCCAATGAGTTGGCATCCTGCCGGGTTGCATCATGCATGCTCGCAGCTTCCCGTCTCCCATGTTTGCCATCTCCTCTCATTCCACTACGGCATCCCTGCACAGCATATCTAAGTACGTTGGTAAGTTTGTCGAGAGATGCATGCGTGGAATTACGCCGAGACAGGAAAACGCACACGTGGATGAGAGAACAAATATTTATCAGAGACATAACATAGACTTATAAAGACGTAGGTGCTTGGGCAAAACACATCACACGACGCGATTATGTGTCTGATGCAAAAAGCCGACATCACACATGCAAAGGACATCCCACGATGAAGGGCATTTGGCCCCCACTCTGCCACAGCGAGGCGACAGATGGTAAGAGTTGAGTCATGCACACTTACCCTCAGGATGCTCTAAACAACGACCACTGTCAGAAACACTCAGCTTTAAATCAATGTGTGTTAATAGCGACTGCAGCCAAAGCATTCTAAATCTGTGATCCATCAATCACTTCACTTGTCTGGATATACTTTTCACATTTGTTTGGGCAAATGCGGTGGTTGTCGTAGACACGTGCAAAGCTTTGCATCTTCCTTCACCTGCTCATTGCTTACACCTCACACCTCCGATTAGCACGGTTGGCTACATCCGGTGCAAAGGAAGTTCAACATACATACGTCGCTTCTGATTCTTTACTCGCAATGACCAACTTCCCTGCCATCGTCTCTTTTCCAAACATCTTTTAAACCTCGCTCGATGCAATAAACGTATCAACTCTTTATTTATAAAACCCTCAACAGTGCCAAGTGGTGTATTTGGCCTGCGCTGAGCAACCAGGGCGCCACGGTGGTGAGATGTTAACTCCCTCGCCTGGTATGCAGGAGGTCGTGAGTTCAATACCAACCCTGACGCCTGCTGCTGTATATTTGGAGTTTGCATGTTCTCCCCATTTTCGTGTGGATTTTTCTCCGAGTCCTCCAGATTTTTCCCTCCACATTTAGAATCATGCATTGAGAGTATTTAGCTTCTATCAATTTCCACGTGAAAAGCCACTTTGTTGAGCCATCATCTGTGGCCAGGTGCCTTCTGAAAAATAACTATATAGCTCAGTCGGCTTTACCTGCCAAAAAAAACCACACCAATTTAAAGGCGAGCACAGTAATGTTTACAAACACACACAGAGCACACCGCTGGCACACACCTTGACGGACACATCCTGGCAGTAGGACAGCAAGAAGAGGGTGATTGCCGTCTGCAGAGGGGTGACTGTGCCTCCTGCTGCGCCCGTGTACTCCAGATAGAGGTGAGAGAGCTCTTCCTGTGTACCCATGGCTGCCACCGAGTATTTAAAGTCACCGCTCTAGAAAAAAAAACACGCAAAGAATAGAACATTGAATTGATGAGAAAATTAAGTACATTTTTGTCGTGCTAGAATTCAGTATTTCTTATTTCTTCAAAATGTGCCCGGAAACACAAGTATATCCCAAAAGCCATACAATTCTCTTTAAATTAGATTCATTTTTTTTATACCACCAATATACAAGCATCAAATTATATATGAACAGATTATTTGATATTGCACGACATGTGTTTTAAATTACTCGTTATGAATGTGAAAATAAAAACAGACGGCAATGTAAATGAAGTTACAGTCACATGCGTTCATTGAATAACGTAGTAATGTGAAGTGAATCGTTTGAGGAGGCCGTCATCCAGCAGTGGATTGACAAAAAGGCCGTGCTAGAATTCCACTACAGAGGAATGCACACACAAAAGCATTCACAGAGAGGATGGGAAGCAACTAAGCCTCGCAACTTAACAACGTAAAAAGCACCATTGTATATAAGCAGGTACATTGAATGAGTTCAGCAGGCCCATTGTTCAAAAAATGTAAGCTAAACGTGTAAGCCTTTGTATCTTAGAAAAGGAAGACATCAGACGCGATCAGCGCGTTATCTCCACGCCGATCACAGCGTAACTCCGAGCACGTTAATAACGCGCAAGTATTTTGTCTACAAAGCGCAGACACCCACAAGGCTACCCCAGCGATCTGGTTATTGCTGCACTCCTGCAGCGGGTTCCCATCGACAGGGCGTTATAGTTTTCATTCCGAGAGTGCATATTCCTGAATATTTAGTCTGAGGATTCCAAACAGAGAAACTCACTTCCACCGAGCGCATGCAGGTGCTTTGTTGGGCCTGCACCGCTCGCCACGGTGACTGCATCGCATCAGCGAGCTCCTGGGCGGTGAGGTGAGACCGTGACGCGTGGCATGCGGGCAACAGGGCGGGCGAGGGAACAAGCGGGCGAATGAGGGAGACGGTGCAAAAGAAGTTCAAAGTATATACTCAAGAATGGCCATGAGTGACCAACAAGCTGACATTAGCCCCCATTACCGCCACCATCTCTCCACACCCTTGTACCCTCAACCAGCACTTTCACCTTTGGGAATGTTAAAGCATGATGGGTGCAAGTTTTCTATCTTCAAATTTCCAAATGTTTAAGTCTTATTTTTTCCCCATTCAAAATGTGCAGCAACAACATTGTCAAACTAAAATAGCCGAATGTATTCCTGTAAAACGCTGATAAAAACAAATATTTGTGCAACTGAAATTATTATTCAATTAACCATCCTGGTGATGTAATCAATTGTCACGACACAGGGTCGTGATCATATTCCAGAGTGGGTTCCTCTTTGTACCCCTGTGAACACGTTATTGTCAATGTAATACAAATATATGCATTCTCACATGTGCAATTTCATTAACGTTTTGTGAGCTTAAGAATTGCAATCGACGAATCAAAATTATTCCTTCCACCCCTACTCATTTCACCCAAAATTCGCGGCAGCTCAATCAGACAACGGTGACGTGGTTTACAGAATGTTGACAATTCTGCGGTATTAGTTCCCCTCTGGGCGGTGCAGGTTGCTTCACCACAGACACGCGTTGTTTATCAGTAACACTGGAAGAGGTCCAAGCAATTTCCTTTCATCGATTTAACACACGCGGGCTCAGCCAAGAAACTCAAATTGGTAAACTTTACTTCAAACTGTCCTCACGTCAGAGGAAATGTCAGATTTCAAGCCATGTGTCGCAACAATTATTGACTCTGGACACATCAGAAACCTTGGCCGGATGAGGCAATATAAGCATGGATATCACAGGTCGCACCAGCGGGTATCGATAGTTTCAGGGCAGCAACGACGCAGTGGTTAGCGCCCGGCAAAGTAAATCCAGCGACCCGAGGTTTGTGCTTGGCAACGTCTAACATCGGCAGCGAGTTGTATCCGATTCGTTTCCGGCCACCCCAACAAACCCTACCGACACTGGCCTGTGTGGTGAAGTATGGTCAAACAACCCCCAAACACGGAATGGTGTGGAGGACTTCATCCAACAGAAGATTAACAAAGTACTGTAAAGTATTACTTTTTGTTTCATCGATAAAATGGGCCAACTTCACATTTAAACGATGATACACATACTGTGTGCGATTGCTGCATACACGGACACACCATGCGTAACTGCACGCTGTGCATTTGGATCGTCCGCATGCCAAGCAAGTATCGTCTTGCAGGAGACTGACCCATTGGATTGATTTCCATCGGGGAAAACTCTAGGAATGGAAAATATAGCTGGTTCTCCGATGTGTTATTGGATTGTACCTCAAGTTGTTTGGCACGATGTCGTACGTTTCACTCCGTGAACATATCGCTTCATTTCCTGGGAACTTCATTAATTGAAGCTCCCAGCACGTGCAACGAAACGTTGGACATTGTGCCCAAAAATCCAGGGTACAACCAGGGCCGGATTCAGGCATGGGGCTTGAGGGGCTGCAGCCCAGAGGCCTCCACCAGCTGGAGGGCCTCCAGAGATGAAGTGAAAAGTTATTTCGTTTGTGAATGGTGAATTTTATTTGTTGTTAGCCTTGTAAAAATAAACTTTGTTTTCCTTTTGAAAATATTACTGGGGGCCTCACAGTACCTGCAGCCCAGGGGCCTACAAAATCTTAATCCGGCCCTGGGCATAACCCGACAACACACATTCGGGAGCCATGCAGAAACAACCACAATAACCTACACAGTGTAAAACATGGCTGGTGCATTTGAATAAAACTGTCACTGCACCTGTGGTGTGACCATTTTCCCCCCACTTCCCAAAGACAATATTTTGCACATTAATGGTTTAGGTGTAAACAAGTGTCTGGTGTAAACAGACAAGACGAACTGATAAGGGGCTTCCGGGGATTTCGATCTGCCAAGAGTTATGTGGATGAGACCCATCAAACCACATTCCACGACAAAACTGGACGCAGCCCAACATGCACTCCACTCACGCATAGCGGAGCCATTAACCCACGAGAAACACTTACCATTAAACCCCAGGCCTGACCCCATCCTCAACTCATGAACAGACAAATAAACACTAGAATTACACACAAATAGATTGACAAGACAAGTGACAACAAAGGCTGAAGGCCACAAGACTCCACCAGCAGACGGTGCTTAATAAATTTAGGCCCTCAACTAAATTGTGGATTATAAGATCCACAAGACAGGTATCACAGAGAAACGCGAAGGGGCAGGTTCCAGTGCTGGGGAATGTTTTCTTGTTATTTTGTCAGATTTTTGGGTAAGACTGAATTTCATAAACAAGATTAAGAAAAACAATTCTAACTTTTAGTGTCCATTTTTCATGTCAATGCATGACTGCATGCGGGACTCAATAAGCCCCACAACCCACATGGGTTATTTGACCATATTTCACCACACCGACCTGTGTGGGTTGGTGAAGGTGGGGAGTACAGATGTGTGACCGCCATGCACAAACAGGCTGCCATATGCTTGACAACATGGGGACCTATGGTAACCTTATAGGCATGGTGATCATCTACCCAAGCACGATCCAGGCTCAAACCTACTTAGCTTCGAAGATTTGATGAGAACGGGCAGGTTCGAGGTGACTTGGTCAAAGGCAGCATATGTCGAGGGGGCTATACATTTGTGACGTGAACATGATTTTTTCCCACTGCACACTTCACCTATCGTGGAGCTATAGTCCTTTATCAAAGACAACGATACTTGTTTGGCCGCACTACCCTCAAGTCTAGGACATCCCAGCATGTTCATAACATGCGCACGCTGCTCACTTGCTTGCTTGCACCTGCACCAACTGCACACGGTGATTTAGTGGCATGCGTAAATCACTTTGAATGCCTCTACCTGTAGGGAGGGAGGCAATGTGAGGGTGGCGGGCCCACGTCAATCTGTGCGACGACGACGTTGAACGTGCACCCATGCCGTGGAAGCTTTAACGAGGCACGGTCACTCACACAGGACTTGCACGGGACCACACGCACCATAGCCGAGGGTTATCTGGACGGTGTTTGCATACCACGATCTATAAAATTCGATACCATGACTCGCCTGGCTGCCACTTGCATGGCAGACTGCCTGGGAATAGAAGGTGCTGTAGGCATTGCCTGAGAGGGGGCCAAAGTACTGGAGAGCGACGAATTTGGTTTTTATCTGTGTGGAGCTTTGAGTATTATCCTCTTTAATGTGTGGGGTTTCTCTGGGTATTCTGGTTTCTTCCGACGTGCCAAAACATCCTAACGCACCTCCTGAGTTTTAAGACTCGGCGAGATGAAATACAGGGCACGAGTAGCTCATCGGACTTCTTATTCATTATATTGTCAATAATTGTGAGTCTTTTACTGCATGTAGCTCAAATGGACTTATTACATTCAATGAACCACAGACGAGTCGTGCGCTCACCATGTCAAATGTAATGGGGTCCAGGTACGGCCAAGCAAGCGCGTGCCCACACCACTTCTGGTGCTCTAGACAGCCCCTCAAGAGCTCTAACGGGTAATTGGCCTACTCTTCCACACTGCCTAGACATCTTGGAAGATGTGGGAGTACCCACACTTTACCCCACCACACGTGACCTGCCGCTCGACTAACTACATGCCCAGTGCTGTGTGGGCAGAGGCAGGGGTAAATTTAAGAAACTTGCCCCATTGTTTAAATTGCCACGTTGGGAGGTAGAACTGGTAGCCTCTGGCTTGCAAGTCCAGTGTGCTAACGATTATACCGCAACAACATTCACTAGGTGCGCTGTCAAAATTAATCAATTTAAGACGTTAATTAAATGCAATGGTCTTTTTTGTATCACTGTATGCAATACATCGTATGTTTTGATAACCCCCAAAAAATGTGTTTAATAATGCAGCGTGCTGCAGACAGTTTGACAAGTAACCAGATAAGGCCACTAAAAGACTCCGATCCCACACTGCAATTACGTCAGTCCTTAAAACACGCAACGCACATTTAGAGTTACTTGTCCAGCGGCCAGCGTACCCTTTCATTTCCAGCGCAAGGCTCATGTCGGGCCTCCCTCCCAGGCACTATTCACGTTCCTTCCTCCTCCTCGCTGCTCCGATCCTCCCTTAGAATAACGCGAGACATTCCACGTCGTTAGCCGAGTCTGACACCAGAGATTCCCGTCGGCATTCCTCCGTCTCGACTGCATGAGGGCATTAGGTGTGGGAGCTATCGTCAGATGTGGGAGTCCTCAAAGTTGACATGCATTACATTAACTTGTCGCTTAAAAACGATTATTATGCTCATGATACATGTAAGATGATTACCGTTTGTGCAAATTAAATGTGGATGGTACATTGCGAAGATGATTTTTTATTAAATTGACGAAAAAATTGTTATTGAAGCGTGACAATTAATCACGAAAATTCACCACTTCGCTGGTGGGGACAGGGCGAGGGAACATGCGTGATTTGTCCAGTGCCTAATTTTGAGTGAGCATGACAAATCACCAGGTATAGTTTCTGTTGTTGCTTTTCTCTTTGGAAGACACTCAGACTCTGCAAGCTTCTGGTCAATGGGCAAAGACATTGGACGCACAAGCCCATTTCATGGGTTGCCTTTGGTGCGTTTTGTTTAATAATTACAACGTGTCACATTACATTACTGTGGGCCACATTGGCATGAGATACAACAGGAGGTGCTCAACGCTGCACCTGACTGCTTCCACTCCCTCCCCAATCGGTCCGTCACCAACACTGCATTCTCATCTCAGGCTGAATCATCGACTCCGGGAGCACAAGCCAAACATAAATTAAAACTCTCCCGAGATGACAGAGCCACAGTTCCAGATTGTCAACATTTATGGAAAGTCTGCCAAAAATCCAAAGCAAGTGATATAACATCAGCGTACCAGTCAACTATCTTCCTTTAATAGCACTGTCCCTCGCCTCCCCCACGCCCCCATGATGCAATTCTCGATCCACTGCTGGATAAATGCTTCTCCATGCCAAAGCCTTCATCTGCGGCTCTCTCCAGCTTCAATTCACCTCGTACACACAAAGTCATTTCAATCCTACACTCCATCTCTCCCCCAGTTTCCCATTTGGAAGCACCTTCTCTCAATTTTATCCGATATCTAGTTAACATTTTTTAGCTGTGGAACCAATAACATAGCCAGAGAGAGCCACCACTTCAAATGGACAGGTGTTGTCCATACCAAGTCATTTAGCAGATCATAAAAGGTGTACAGCCTCCCGCTCCACAAACAAGCGATTGATGTGGGCACGTGGTTGCAAACTGAAGGCGGTTTGATTCTTGATTTAACACAGCTGTGTAACCTGCTATCTATTTTACACTGGAGCCAGATAAAGGCACAGACTTTGACACTTTATCTCCAACAAAGTCGGGCTGTGCAAAATCTGCAATGTTTTTTGTTTCAGGGGTGTTCAGTGCCGGTCGCTTAAACGATCTTAAATGCCTTATCTGTGCCAAACACGAAATGTTGCTGGATATCATGAAAACTATTGCATGTTGTTTTAAACAAAAACGTGTACTGAAACAGTGAAAGGCTCTTGTTATTCTGGTTCAGCTGGATGAAACGGCTAAAATCAATGTCACTCAACATGCTTCGCTCGACGCTTGCGGACCGAACGGTCGGTCAGGGCCTCTCTGGGCAGAACACATAGTGCCTAACCAGAGGGCACAGCAACGCCAATTAGTCACCATAACAATGCCTTGAAAATTTTATGTATTAAAAAACACATTCCCATTTTTATTATTTTATTACATGGCACATGATGCAAGTGTTTATTTATTTACAAATGTGGATGTTTGTTAGCCTTTTCACAAAATCAGCGGAGAAGCTGAATACCACATTCCTGTCACTCTCCACGAACTACAAACACAGAAACTTTCCTGCCCTCTTAAAATTGTCTAGCGAAGCAAGATGCTGTAACACTTAAGAGGTCTGTTATCCTGTATCGTACGACCATTTCATGATAATACGCAACGTCAATGAACATTGAGTGGGAGTCAAGGAACGATGGAGTGGCAGCCGAGGAGTGGAACATGTGTTCCATCAGAAAGGAAGTCAGCTCGAGTGCATGTGCTACGTGGATTATTAGGATCGTGAGAGATGGCTGCAGCTTGGGGATGTCTCCATCCACCGGTGGATTGACCACGGCTGATGATGATAATAGAAATGTGTATTCGCAGCTAAAATGCGAAATTGGTAATGATTCACAGGCCATTACGCATGCTTACAATTGCATTAATTTGGCAGAAAAACCACGCGTGGAGTCTGTGGTCGAAGTGGACATAGAAGAAAGCGTGAACTTGAGACAAGACGCCAGACTTTCAGCAGACAAAACCTAAAGCCCAGACACTTTCTAGGATTGCAATGTAACCCAAAACAGCTAATTACCACCACCTCACGCGAAACGGTAACAGAGCCACCACCACCACCACCTCCTCGCACAGCCAGCCACACATTGCACACTCCGCTTACGGCTCAAACTCGGGAAATGAAAAGGAAACGCAGACGCCGAAGCTTCACGGGTCTGCTTTTTATAGACCGCTTACTATTTCAAGGCTATAAAGTCAGTTTAAAGCGTAGCGTTAGAATGTTGGTTTGTAATGCGACATGGGGTTCCCCATTGCAGGTCTAATCCTGGAGCACATGCAGGATGCATATTGCCCGGTGTGGGCTATGGGTGGCTGAAGCTTGTTTGGGTGGCGATGATCGTCCACGATTGCTTAGTTTGCGCCCGAGGCCACTCAGGAAACCACTGCAATCAAAAGTTTCACAAGAATCTTGTCACAGGTGGAGGAGGGGCGGCATTGGGAAAGAAGCAGCAGCAGCAGCAGGAGGAGGAGGCTGCTTCCACGACTGCTCTGGCCCAACACCGCTGAGCCAGGAGCACAGCACCACCTGCCGGGTTTATGCAGAACATGAACAAGTCACCCATTTCAAAGAGTAAATAAAGTCTAAAAATGAGTGCAAATTAGTAGCGGGAGTTAAAGGCCGATTATAATTGTCGGTGAGCGAATTCATTATCCGGGTTGTAGATTAACCGTGTGTGTGTGTAAAACAATTGAATGTATAAATCTTGACTTAAAGCTTTCGTGACTGCAGGAATTCATATTCTGCACCGCACGTAGCCAACCCTGCTGATCGGAGGTGCGGGGGAAGGACAAGAAACTAAACACAACAAAACAGCTGTCAACCTCGATTTAAAGGCGCATGGCTCCAGCGGCTTCCTAATCTCGGGAGATTGTTCCAGACGGCCACAGAAGCGCATCTGAAAGCGCATCGCGATGCGGTGGCCGCCGTCTTTGTTCGATGTCGAGGCAAAGTCGCTGCTGCTGCTGCTGAGTTCGTGTGGGTTGGTGGCTTCTGCTCCGTGCCACGAGCGAGAGCCCCAAGACTCACAACACTCGGTCATCATTCGCCACTCAAGGCTCTGGTCGTGTCTGTGTGCGCTCGGTGCGTGCCATCATTGCTCAAGAAGTTGGACAGTTCTAGATGTGAAGTGTTCGTCACTGCAAGGATCCACACTCTTTGGTTCTTTCGGTAAAGTCACGTAGGTGGAAAAAATAAGAAGAAAAATAAATAATAATAAAATTTCAAATAAAAAAATTTGTTTTTTTTATTTTCTTTATTTTTATTCTTATTTTTTTTCACATACGTGACTTTACCGAAAGAACCAACGTTGTGATTGCTATTACTGGGCGGGGCCGCCTGGTTCGGCGTGGAGACGCAGCTGCCTCCAGCATTGCTGTGCGCGCACTTCTGTTGTTGATCTTTAGGAGTGCGAGTTAAAACCAATGTCGCGTTTTAGTGGCTCTCCCGACCCTCAAACATCCCGGTGGCAATGCGGGACCCGGTAAATCATCCACGCGCGTTCCTTCGAGGACGCGTTGCAACAGCAGGGGGCGATCGCGATGCCGCGCAGCCCTCGTGCTTGAGTGGAGAAGACCGGCGACAGAGCGGGCCGGTCCACACAGCATCACCACCACCATCACCACCACCATCATCACCATCATCATCACCATCATCACCATCATCATCACCACACAGCATCACCACCATCACCACCACCACCACCATCATCACCACCACCACCATCATCACCACCACCATCACCACCACTACCATCATCACCACCATCACCATCATCACCACACAGCACCACCACCACCACCATCATCAGCGGCACGTGGTCTACTGCCGCACTGTACGCGGCCCGCACTGTACCGCGTCGCCTTACCGCGCGGAAGGAGCAGCCCACGTGGAGTGGGCGCCAGGGAGCGCGTTCGGCTGCTACAACCTCGGGGCCCAGTTGCCGCGGCGTTGTCATCGACAGACGGTGCAGACAGGATGGGCGGGGGCGCGTTCGGTTACTCCACGCCAGGGTTGTGATGATACGATATCTCACGATACGATATCCCACGATACGATATCCCACGATACGATATCTCACGATACGATATCCCACGATACGATATCCCACGATACCACATTTCGTGGCACGATATTCCACGGCCCGACAATAATTTTCAATATTTAACGATTCTCGCGATATCGGTTCCACTTAACGTTGCAATTTAATTTCGCATGTTGTGGTTTCTTTCGTCGTACATTCAATAGAAATAAAGATTGCGTTAAAGTTATTCAATTTAATTCCCTCAGCATTAGCATGTCTCATCATTGCAACGATATAGCTTGGAATACTTGACGCACATCAGAATCAGAATATTTATTAATACTAAAGGAATCCGATGACCTATAAAGGGCCGTCCATAAATGACGTCACGCCATTTTGGACGATTTTTGACTCAGTCCAATTGTTGGCAGCCCAACGTGATGATCAGAATTTGCTTCAGGTACCTACTTGGGTTACCACCTGTCCTGGTTTCCCTGTTTTCGAGATTGCATTGTGAACGTCTGATGATGGTAAAAAAAGCACAGTTAAGGAAGATTTAAGTGATTGACTTACCTTTCTTATACTTCGCACTCCGATAATGTTTTGTTTGTTTAAACGTTCTGACCCGCCCCTACTGGACATCTATGAGCAAGAGCTTTATTGCTCATCGGATTCCTCCTGCAGTCTGAATACATATTCTGATTTTGAAATATTTTGTATTTTTACCAGGTCAAGGCCCACTAAGCTACACAGCTCTTTCTCAGAAGCAACCTGCCCACAAATGATAGCCTAGTGGAGTGGCTTATCGGGTGGATATTTATAGCATCCAAATGCTCTAAACGCAACTTCAAATACAGAGAGGGTCTCTCTCTCTCTAAAGCAGCCTCTGGCCCTCATGGCACCGAGGCCAGCCCCGCTTGACGATGTTGTTTCACACTGGAGTAGACTGCCCAGCGCAGCCATGCACATCACTTGAGGCTCAGCCATTGCTTCAGACAACCCTTGCCTCTGCACAGGGTCTGCTGGAGGGTGAAACGACCCAAACGCCCAGCTCCAGCCTGGCAACCCGAGTGTCGCCCTGTGGCTCGTCGTTCAACTCCTTCGAAACGCACCCCGCTGCTGCTGCTCGCGTCGTTCCCATAAACACCAGCCCGTTTACACTTCCGTGCCAGTGGAGATCAATGGAGACAAAATTAAAAGCAGCTGGCAGGCGTCGATTTAAAAAGAGAGTTTAATGATCCGTGTTATTTTGTGCATTTGTGCAAACGATAAATAACCGCTGGGTGGATTGAAAACAAAAAAGGCAGCACGTTAGCCGGCATAAGCAAGAGTTAAAGACTGAGGCAGTGGAATTTACAGCTTTATTTTACATTTGGTATATAAGAAGTGTAAATCTCCATGCATTAACAATGCACGCATAGATTATTTACAATAACACTGCAAAATTGTGCCCCCGGCATATTTATTCCTGTGAAGTCACGCTGGAAATCTCATTGTGTCATTTATCCCCACTTAGCAAGTCGCTCAACTGTCAGCACGTGTGAATTACCATTCACGTAACTATTCAGGCGCCGTCATGTTTCCTGAAGTCTCCATAAAGATCCACGAACACAGAAACTACCTCGCTGCCCATTAGATCTCCCGCATGAAGCAGTTTTTGTGCTATATCGCTGAGACGCACTCAATAGATTTTTTTCCCGGCCCTTTTAATGCACAGTTGATGCTGGATAATCGCTGGGGGTTTTAACGAGACCACCAATGCTGACGCTGTACCTTTTAAGGTTTCTCAGTAAATGTCTGTCCTTAAGAGGAGAGTTTGAATTCTCCGAGGCCTCGTTTATGGCTCTGTCAGCAAGACAACGTCAGCTTGACAGCTTTGGCACACTTTGTTATGATGCTGGATATAAAGTTCGGCCAGATGGCTCAGCAGTACAGCGGGCAGCTTACACCCAGAAGGTTGCGAGTTCAAATTATGGTTGTGGGGGAGGGTGGATTGACTCAGCCCATCATCCCTCTCGGGTCAATAAAATTTGTACCACTTTTTTGGGAGGTCAACAGTGGTCATCCTATGGAGAGACTCACCTCTGCCATCGTGTTGTGGAATTTCCACCACTGGCTCACGGCTTTAAACAGGAGCTGAGCACGGCCTGAATGCTCATTTGAGGGAGAAATCACAGTGTGAATTGTGCTACATGTACTGTACATATCAATACAGTACTCAGAATGTATAAAATGTATACTTATCGTATGCATATATGGTGTACACTGCATATATAATTACGGCAATGCCACTAACCATGCACGGAGATTTATTTTTTCCACAGAAATGAAAGCATTGATGTTTCAACATGAAATATAAATGAAGACTTGCAGTGGGGGGAAGAAAAATGTGTCAAATCTTTAAATAATTTATCAAGATGTGCGCGGCACACTTTGTACAAATGCACTGCACCGCCTGCTTTAATAGCTCTATATTTTTTCCAGTGTTATCTTTTCGACTTTACGACTATAATCTTACAAGAAGATTGAATATCGCACAAACATAAAGGGACCCTCGTGAAAACGTTACATTGCGATCTTTGTATGTGGGCCACAGTCGTTTCAAAGGGTCATCACAATGCTAATTTAGACGGTCTGTGGCAAGCGTAGCGGGCTGCTGCCACACACACACAGCGCTCAGCTGAAATGTTAACGATTATTGATTGCACGTCTCAGACCTTCCTGGAACTGCTAAGGGGAAAAAAATTGCGACGCCAGAGATTTCACAATTAATTTCGTCTCAATCCACATCATTGTACAGTACGTATTTTTATGGGGGTAATATTTTTTTACTACAGGTAGATTGAAAAATCGAGGTCACGGTGCACTTTGGTTATTGTCATGAGAAAGAAGTCAGCAATTGAAGCTGAGAATTCACGTTAAAATTTAAAACGTGCTTGATTGTTCTCATGCCCTGCTTGCTAATTAGATTAATGAGAAGCTACGGCAGTGATGCAGTATAATTAACAACAGATTACCTCCTATTCACTCTAACGGCAGTAATAAATGGGTGAGTGCTGCTGCATGGCACTTGCTTCTGCGATGTGCACGCATTCATCTGTTATTGTCAACAGAAGCAGCCACGCTTCATCTAATGCTGGATGGAGACCTCCCCAAGTCATCGCCATCTCTCACGATCCTGCGATGGAATGATCCACCTCGCACCCACACATGTGTGTGGTTGCCACATGTATACACCCTTATACTGCAAACAAACTAAAACATTCAAAGAAAAAATCCCCAAAATGTATATACTTTGTTCGGTATGGTAAGTTTTGAAAGTCAGTAAAGGGTTTGAAAGACTTTAGAAACCAGCAGCCTATCACTGAAATCAGCAGGGTTGGCAAGTATGGGAAGATCTGGGTAACGGAGGCCATTTGAAATGCAAAGTGCCGCATCTTCTAATGCGGCACTTTGCATTTCAAATGGCCTCCGTTTCGTTGAACGGAAGGGATTTTTTTCATATTTTCAGAAAAAGATGAATCACCAGACTAAGAGAGCAGTGTCACTCGATCATTGTATAGGGTCCATTCGAGTTGAAATGTGCAGCGGTCAGCGTTGCAGATGGGAGAACGCTAACATATTTACATCTGTGCTGTCCACACACCGATATGGAAATGCACTACAATCGGTCTCCAACAAATGGCAAACGAAATTCACACTCAAAACTGCAGGACTTCTGATGTTTAAGGATGAGAGGGGCAACGGTGGCGCATTGGTTAGCGTGTTGCACTATGAACCCGTCGAGTTTTAATTCTCGGACACCGAGAACATCGCTGGTTAACGATACCACAACCGGTTCACGACGCTCAAACACATTCCCATGACCGACGCTCAAACACATTCCCATGACCGACACTACCCATGCCCAGGCCTTCGTCCAGCAGTGGATTGACGTAATCGATCATGTACGCACTTCATACTTTTTTGGGGGGACGCTCGCTCCTCTTTGTACAAAATAACCCCAGAAAAGTTGATCATGTACCAATGATCACACGAGGGAAGACATTGGAGTTTGGTTGTAGTGTGGGTGGGGGTCTGGTACACCTCTTTGGGCAAGGTTATCGACCACGAGCCCCATGTCCTGTGCTGCACCCTCAGAGCTCCTTCCCATTGCAGATGGCAACGTCTTGTTCGCGTGTCACTGGTGGGGTGAAGGGAGAGCCGTGGGGACACCAGAAAAGTCGATGCCTTATTACAGCAGCAGCAACAACAGCAAACTAAACGCGTCCACAGTCAACCTTCCATTATCCGGGGAGATATAAAAGTGGCTGTAAAACACGAACTGTATTGCCAACCTATATAGAATGATTAGGGTGAAGATGTTGACAGTGCCATGTGTTTGTATTGCTCGTCAAAGTTACACGGTTTACTTGCAGGCACAATTGAGGTGATGTGAGCACTAAGTGACTTAGGCACGGTTAATCTTCGATACGGCACGTGTTAGTGCTTTTACTTTGGTTCCGATTACTTTACTTCATTGCGGTATATTGTTTTGTTTGATTTCACTTTGAAAATGTTGGGGATCCCAGATTACTCTTACAAATGATACTGTATTCCTGTTTTCTTGAATTGTCACATGATAAACAGAAATAAACTAAATACTCCGGATAACCTGTTTATAGATAACATAACGTTAACTATAATACGGAAAGCTAAAATGCTTACAGTTTATTAATGCGTCAAAATGGTATATTTGATCATTTTTATGATCAGAAGCCCACCGTTGCGAGGACAATAATAGCCAAGGAAATGGCAGGACGCACACCAACCCCACCCTGTGGATGTGTAACATGCAGCAGTCGTTGTGTAGTGGTGTTAACTACTTGCTGTTCGCAAACTGTGAGAGAGCGGATCGTAAACAAAGTTTTTATTATGTTTTATTTTTATTATTTTATTACTTCCCTTCTACGTGACTTTACCGAAAGAACCAAGAAGAAGAAAAAAG